TGACCTATCAAATATATCTTTGAAATTCCTCGCTTCTGTCTTTTGATTTCACTTGGTGGGTACGATTCATATTAGGTGTTACTGGTTAAAGCGTTGTCAAACTCCGAATACCTGTGATATCTTCGCTTTGTTGTCCCAGATTGTAACCTTGGAAATCGCTAATCAGGCTTCGCGTGTAAGAAGTGTGGTGCTGCTAGGAAATAATGTAACGCGACTGTCGATGAAGTTAATGTTTGTTAAAAATTAACCATTTAAGTGAGTTCGGTATAAGCTGTGACGGGCGCCTAGTGCTTCCTGATTTACAATGATTTTCTGACTTTGATAGGTTTGCGATTTCAGTGAGTATTACTGCGCAAAACGTAAGCGGCAATATGGAAATAGGAAATAAATCTACGTATGGTGAATGACAGAACAATAATGAAAGTCGTGTAATGAATAATAAGGTGGAAGTTTTTTTTCAAGTAACCACTGCTAATGGAGTTCACTCAGTTGCTAAATACTCTCCTGAGAATTAGTTGTTGACGTTCTAAAGTTTGATTTTAATCCAGCATTACTATGAGAGTGGTCCAAACCAATAATTTCACGTAGTATAGAGTGATGTTGAAGGAAATAATAGCATAATTTAGTTTTTTAACATTAGTTCGTGGTCAATAAAGCAGAGAAAGGAACGATGTAGATAGTACTTATTTTAACACTAAAAGTAACGTTACTTACTTTTTTACTTACTTACTCCTGTTACTCCTAATGGAGCATAGACCAGCGACCAGCATTCTTCAACCCACTCTGTCCTGGGCCTTCTTTTCTAGTTCCGTCCAATTCTTGTTCATTTTTCTCATGTCTATCTCCATTTCCCGGCGTAATGTGTTCTTCGGTCTTCCTCTTTTCCTTTGACCTTCAGGATTCCAAGTGAGGGCTTGTCTTGTGACGCAGTTAGGTGCTTTCCTCAATGTGTGTCCTATCCATCTCCAGCGCTTCTTCCAAATTTCTCCCTCCGCTGAGGTCTGGTTTGTTCTTTCCCACAGTACGTTGTTGCTAATCGTGTCCGGCCAACGGATACGAAGTATTTTGCGTAGACAATTGTTAATAAACGCTTGTATTTTCTGGATGATGGTTTTTGTAGTTCTCCAGGTTTCTGCCCTATACAGTAGAACTGTCTTGACATTTGTATTGAAAATCCTGACCTTGATGTTGGTTGACAGTTGTTTTGAGTTCCAGATGTTCCTCAGTTGTAAATATGCTCCTCTTGCTTTGCCGATCCGCGCCTTCACATCTGCATCAGATCCACCCTGTTCATCAATGATGCCGCCCAAATACATAAAGGTTTTTACATCTTCCAAATCTTCTCCGTCAATTGTGATTGGATTGGTGCATTCTGTGTTGTATCGGAGAATCCTGCTTTTCCCTTTGTGTATACTGAGACCTATTGCTGCTGAGGCTGCTGCTACACTGTTTGTCTTCTCCTGCATCTGTTGTTGCGTTTGGGATAGAAGGGCCAGATCGTCTGCGAAGTCTAGATCATCCAACTGCATCTTAGATGTCCATTGTATCCCGCGCTTCCCTTCAGACGTTGACGTCTTCATGATCCAGTCGATCACCAGGAGAAAGAGAAAGGGTGAGAGTAGGCAACCTTGCCTAACACCGGTCTTTACTTCGAACGACTTTGTCAACTGCCCTCCATGCACGATTTTGCAGTGTAGTCCATCATATATATAGAGTGATGAATTTTACTCAGTTGATTGTTCCACAATGATCCGTAGATTTGCGATTTGGTATGTACACGACCGTTTCGTACGGAATCCTGTCTGTTGGTCTCGAAGTTTGGCGTGTACGCAGTCCTTCATTCTGTTTAACTCTACCCCATTGAAGGCTTTTCCAAGTATTGAGAGAAGAGTGATTCCCCTGTAGTCATCACAGTTGCTGAGATCACCTTTCTTCGATATTTTTACCAGATGTCCTTCTTTCCAGTCTGTCTTATTGAAGAGAATGTAAAGTATCCTTGCAGTTACTGCTACGTCTGCTTTCAGTGCCTCTGCTGGAATGTTGTCTGGTCCTGCTGCTTTGCCACTCTTGATTTGTCTGATGGCCATGCTGACCTCTTCAAATGTTGGTAGGCCAACATGGATTGGGAGGTCCGTGGGTGCTGCTTCGATGTTGGGTGGGTTCAGTGGAGCTGGTCGATTCAACAGTTCTTTGAAGTGTTCTACCCATTTGTTTCGTTGTTCTCCAGTGTTGGTGATTACCTTGCCTTCCTTGCTTTTCACTGGTCGTTCTGGCTTGCAGCGATTTCCAGAGAGTTTCTTTGTCGTGTCATACAATTGTCTCATGTTTCCTTCTCTTGCAGCCTTTTCCGCCGTCGTTGCTAAATCTTCCACATATTTACGTTTGTCGGTTCTGATGCTCCTCTTCACTTGCTTGTTTAATTCTGTGTATTCGGCTTGTGCCTTGGCTTTTTCTGCTCTTGTTCGGCTGGTATTGATTACTGCATTCTTGAGTCTTATTCAGGGTGTCAACAGTGATCCATTCCTAGTGGTGGTGCTTCTTGTGGCCTAGAACCTCATGACATGTTGAAGTGATTACCTATTATCCCTTTCGAGTTGCTATCCACAGTAGTTCCGTCTCCATTGAGTAGATCATGAAAGGCCTAGAACTTATTGCTGAGGACTATCTTGAATTTTTTGAGATTGTCAGTATCCCGAAGAAAGGCCGTATGGAACTTTTGTGATATTGTCCGCCCCGTTGTCCAGTACTTCATGAGTTTCAATTTCATCTTGGCGACCAGTAAGTGATGATCTGATGCTATATCAGCTCCTCTCTTGGTTCTCACGTCTTTCATCGTCCTCCTGAACTTTTGTTTATGCAGATATGGTCGATTCGGTTTTGTGTAGTGTGATCCGGGGAAGTCCATGTGTAACGTTAATATCAATTAATTAATGGTGAAGTGTATTCTCTATAGATAAAGATACATCGTAGATATGATATATATGTCAACAGACGTAGCATATCATGGAAAAAGTAAAGACACGATATTCTATCATTATAAAATGTATTAAACTTATGTGTCACTGAAGTGTGAGTCGTTATTCTATTAGTTGTCGAAATTGAGTAAATTTTACGACCTTGTATTTATTTTGCAAATGGCCCGCACGTCACGTCCAAGAATGCGTTTTTGCCCGTTCCAGCTGTGGAAGTACTGGCCGTCGATATTCGCAAATCACGAACCCCAGTAGGCAAGAGAACCAAAACTCCAAATCAGGTACCAAGTTTATTCGCAATTCACAAATAATCGACCAAAAGTCGTTCTAACAACAGTAATTATAACAATTACAAAACAAACCTTCAATTTTGTAGGTTCCCGGATCAACAACTCCCAAATAACAAATCAAAGACAAAGAGAGCACCAAAATGTCCGAAAATGGTGATATAAACAAACACGTTCAAGAGTTCAGTAAAAAGATTACATCCAAAAACACAATGAATTAATATTTAAAATAAAAGCTTTTATCAGCCCAATGTGTTTAGCTCTCCCGCAACACGCAGTCTATGGCCATTGTAAACCTGAGTCGAAGTAACAGTTGGTGTCTTATGTTAGCGCCAAAAATGCAGAGATTGTATGTAGATATATGAAAACCAGATTGGCCTGAAATTATTACCATTTGTGTTTGTTAGTTCAATTTTCTGTTACAATAGATGATAAAATTGTTCATGGGATTTTGATATTTTGTAGACAACACTCCATTGGAAAGTTGATGAAGACAACTAAATGTGGCAAATGATCGGCAGGAAGGACGTCTGCTGTTTTCATGTTCTTATTTTGTGACAGTGTTTGACCGATACAATGCTTTATGTATATCCGTTCGAGAGCTGTCCTGTCCTACTAAATGACAGTTAACTTAACATGTGATGAATAATTATTGAAAATGTGGTTGGACTTCTTTGTAATATAAGCTTGAGAAACGACAAAAATACGGGTTTTTTGGCTCATTTTTGGGAAATTTTAAAATATCAAGCTCTTGAGGGTATTCTTTCACCACATTCTTACTGAAGTTGTGGTCAAAGAGAGATGATAAGAAGGAGTTAAAAGAAATGTATTTTAAATAACACATCTTGAGATGATAAGAGAAAACAAATAACTTATGTTTTGTTCTCTCATTGAATTACCTCAATTATCAATTGAAACTAGGTATACACCACTGATCAAACGAAATAATATTTAGTTGGTGGACTTGGACGATGTTTCAAAATAATTTTGAATTTACTAACCCTACAAAGTTTATCTGCAGAGTAAACGAGATTGTCATCCACCAGTTTAGGTGGTCTATTCTAATGTTTACGGTCTACTCGAGCTGAAGAGGAATTGTGCGACCTAGCTCACATAGAAGTCATAACTCCTGGTCGGTACCTAAAGCGGACTACTCTTCGTGGTATCCAGGTACTGAATCGACTTTGCTGGCGACATAGAACAAACATACCGCTTTTGAAGGAATGCACCTGTAACGATTGATTACGTAAATAAAGCGAGGCCTCAGACTCAATGACCAGTCACTAGTGTGCAAATGGATAATGAGCGTTAGTTATCTTCGACCTTTATGAAGTTCGGCAGACTTTCATTGACCTGTAGTCTAACGTAAAGCCTGCTCATATTGACGAATGGATTGTCTAAAGCTCAGTGAAATTTTATTTGTACTACCCAATGGTTTCATTTTTGATACATGTGAAAGGGATAAGGACCATTGTTACCTTACCCTTACAACTGCAGAACAAGTCTATACAAAATTAGTTTGGGTCCAATTTTTCTATTGAAATAACCTTTCGTTTTCAGACCTTAACGTTTGAGTTTTCATGCAGAATAACATTTGAGATACAAGTTTGCTTTGTTTTACGGAGTCACTTAGTATCTGTATCACAGTAGCTTATGACGTACTTTTTTAAACAGACATTGAGTATCGTGAATTCGTCATTCATAAATCACAGTTAAAGGCAGTTTAATGAATTAAAATATTATGCCAAGAGGTGTTATGATACATGCCATGCATCAATTTAATGAGTTCAATGACACTTATATCGATAACAAATACGATATATCTGACGAGCAATATTATTATGGCTCTAACAAACGTAAAAGGAAAACTGCTGCACCCCAGAAACGTGAACCAACAGAAGAAGACTCAAGAGAAGATGTCAAAATGATATTTAAAAATTCACCATTCGGCCCTATAAATTTGGTTACAAAAGAAAATAATGTTCTTCCTTCCTCTTTAAATGGTACAGAACGCTCAAGTGAAATATTAAGTGATGGAAATATAACTGCATCTCCGGAACACGTTAAACTTTATGCTGCTATGTTAAATTATTTTCTTTTGAAGTATAAAACGTCGAATGATTTAAAAAGTGGATCGTTTTCTACGTGCCCATCATTAGCGGAAGTCAATCATGGTTTCGATAAAACATCAGGCAGTTCTCTTTCCAACAATCTGTCAAACTTATTTTATTCTGCCCATTTGAATCATTCTACAAGTCCTGTGACAGTTACTTCAAACAAGCAAAGCCCTTCTAATGGATCTTATAATGATGAGCTCTACTACTCAAATTCTAAAGAAATTGATAAACTTTACAAGCACATTTCTACAAAATTTGAAGCGTACTTAGATTGGCGGCAGAATGTTATAAATTCTATTAGCACTTGCATAACTAATATACCTGTTCCAAAATCTAATTGTCCAAATTATGAAGCCATGTCTGTTTGTTATAAGTCGTTAATAGACAGAGCTTACGCTTTACAACAATCTGTGGAATTATATTTTGGAATGATTCAAAATTCTCTCTCTTATAATTCACTTCCACACCAACATTTAGATGATGTCACTATAAATTCTCCAGTTCACAATCCCACTTGGGGTGGACAGACAAATAATATCACTAACTTTCCAGTTCAACCACCGTACACCTCAAGCTCATATTCTTCAGTAAATTTGTCGGCTGTTCTTACCGATATTTTTCAGTCTAATAACACTGCAGTCAGTAATCAAGAGTTGATTAATGAGTACAAACGAGTTTCCGGTGTGGCTTTTGAACAGTCTAACCAGCTTCCGAGTACTTATGTATCTGAGAGTCAAGCCCAAACCAGTTTACAGTTACCAGTGGACTTGACAAACTCAGAAAAAAATAAAACCACCGATCCCTTTATTTTAACTTTGCCATCACATGTTGAGGCAAAAGCACACAACTCAGATAAGTCAAATAAAGAAAACCATGACTATTGCGCAAACAAAGAACTCGATAGGTGTGATCCAGTACAAAAGTCTGAACACAGTCGAATTCCAACTCTGAAAGGGGATGGAGAATATACATTCTCAAATGCTACTGAACACAACATGGTTTCTAACGTCGATGTTCGAAATGGTTTTGTTTCTCAAAATCTAAAGCACGCAGCTAGCAATATGCTATGTAGCTCAATTATTAATTGCTCTCCAAGATCTAATATAAATATAAGAAAAAAGGTTTATTTTAAGTCAAAGCGTGTAAAAAAATCATTTACATCAAATTCTGTGCAGAACAACAGCAACGTTTGTCCGGAAAACTCCTCTCCTAAGAAATCCAATTTCAGAGGGACTAGCGAGGAGGAAAATAAAGTAGCTCCTAATTTCAAACCAATTGAAGTGAATGTAAGTTGTCGTTTATAATAACATACAGTATGGTAGAATTAGGGAATATAGCTTTGGTTAATGACAAAATCAACAAAACGCTCAGTGATTGTCGTTAGTTTTTTGTTTGCGTTTATAAGGTGCCATGAACAGGTCTTATGTGTATTTTTAAAAGTCTAGAGTTTAATTTCAAATCTAAGTTAATCTTTCAGATCTATGCGACTTCCTTGTGTTTCACATTTTGTCAAGCCAGAAAATCAGATTAAATATAGCAAACCGTTTAAAGGAAAACCTAAATCTTTTTAAGTAAAGATAAATAAAAAATGAAAAAGCGCAGTTTACAGAGAAAAACTTAATCTTCTGGTAGGTTTTAGCACAACGAGCCTATGAGAAGTAAAATGTCTTGAACACCTATTCTGGTTTTGGTGTTTTTACTTATCGTTTAGCAACTTATGTAAAAACTGCCATGAAGTAAAAACGTCATAAAACGGTTTGAAAAACATGAGTAATATAAAGTTGGTTTCCAGCTTTTAACTCAATGGTGCAATGGGAAAGCAACAGTTACATATCTTATGAACTTTGTCTTCAATTTATCGTAAAATCGTAGACATGTACTTTTCTAGAGTGAGAAATTAAAGACAACAGAATAACTAAGTGCTTTGCATGTTTTGAGAGATCTATAGTTCATACATGTTTATATCAAAAGTTATCCTCATAAAAGAAGTCATTCATCATTAGAGTTTTTTAACAATATTTTGTGCTAAAGTTGAGGGAATAACCGACAAATTAAGATCAATAAGTGTCACGTTTGTTTTTATATTGCCGTACTGAGGTATTTCTGGGTAGTATTTCACTTTCATTGCATAATTAAGTTACACCATGTGCGTTTTTCATTCTCATAAATGATAGGTGACGAATCAGTTTCACTTTTTATGGCATATGTTGCTCTTAATAAATGTTGTTTTTAAATACAACTGACCTCAGAAATTGATTGTAAAGGTTTTTAACCCTGCCATATGTACGCATATCACTTGTTTACACTTTAGAGTAGTAAAGTAGTTTCCAAAATTCCTACTTTACTTTGAACAACTTGTAAATGTTTCTTTAACCTTATGTATGCCTCGTTTATTGAAATCAAAACAGTCTTGGTGACTTTTAAACCAAAACTATATGTTCTTAATCGTTTAAGATGTGTAAAGTAAAGGTAACGCAGATACGTCATTCTGTTCTGTATTTCGTCAGACATTTCAAGCTCAACGACTGGCACGATCCTATACAAACAAGGGGAATGTGTTGACCGTTATATTTCATTTTCAACAAGTATGCTAATTAATTCCAAAAGAATAGTAGACTAGACTACCGCAGTCCTGATCGTTTAATATATTGACAATTTACCTGCTTTGATTCATAAATAACTTGACGACCTTATTTATTCAGTCCGTTTATCATAAAAAATGGATGTTACCTATTGAATTTGTTATTCGTAAAGTCTAGCAAGAATGACGACTTATGTTTAATTTTTATCACATTCTGATGAGTGACATGTATTTATCTGGAATTTCATTGCATTTTTCTGAAACTGTTTGAGAAAACATATTTAACTCATAAAATTTACTTTCAGGCAGGATAAAATTCCACATAAGCTTTCTCAAACCTCAGCCAATCTTAAAAACTTTCAAGTAACAAAATGACATTTTTTGTGGCTTTTCTTCTGTTCTAAATGTATTCGGGAAACATGTTGAATTCGCAAGCCTTTTGCAGAATTCTCTTTCGATGTAGCACTCTAGAACCAAGAGGCAAGTAAATTAGCCTTTTTCTTTTTAAAGGCATCTGTAATCACATGGTGGTGATCAGTGTCATGTGTGTCAAGTCCTTTTTGGTGCAGATCGAATGCTATCGATTGAGTTGAAATGTGGCCACCATCCTGTTGACTACCTCCAACCACCATCTAAAGGCGTCTGTACATATTGTTTTCTTAATTTTATTATATCATATTTAAACTAGCTTTAAAATCCTTACTGTATCGGGTTTAAAACGAGAATCTCTAGGACATCAACCAGAGAAAGGGTTTTACCAAGATAATTCTATATTAAATGGACAAAACGTCTTTTGAACAAAATAGTTATTCCTTGGTAACAAATAATATTTTATTGGATTAGGCGTGTTTTAAATAAACTGTTTTACTGCAAAGCATGGTTTTCAGGAGAATCCAATATAGATTAAATCATTCCCAATATCACATAACATGCTAATATTAAACCGTTAACTTTTTCATAGCTTTTAAAATATAATCATTGAAAAAATGAATTACTGTCCGTAAGAATCCTTTTACTTCGTGAAGTTTCTATTTGTTTAATTGCTCAGTTTATCGATTATAATATATAGAAGTGACTTTTTATGTTCTTTCATTTATTTTACTTCTAGTAATATCAAAAATAAATCAAGTTTGATAAATATGGCTTATAAAACAGTCATCCATTTAAGATAGAGGAAAGAAACCGTTGAAATCTAAGTTATATACGTTAAAATGAATGATAAATATTTGTATGGATCTAAAACAATCAAGTTTTTTGTTAGTGGTTGGGCTGTCGGTTTTATCGATATTTATAAAATGATTTACTGTTCAGCAGGCCTTTATAATACTAACTCATTTATGATAAGTAAACATATCTTTTTAATTAGGAATGATAAAATATAGCACAGTTAATTAATAAAACGAGTATAAACTAGGTGGAGAAGTGTCCAAGTATTACTGTCAGGGAACAGTACACACGCCTCAGTAAAACACCTAAGCTACGAAAATAAAACGTTCTAGGACACAAAGAGATTATTAATTTTTATTGGCACCAATTGTAAAATTTTCTTATTCAACTATCAAATAAAATATTGTAAAGTTGAATAAAAGCCAAAAACCCAAAATGGCTCTAGTGTAAATGGATAAAGGAAGTCTTAACTGTTGTTTGGGGGGCTTTTCATGAACAGTAATAAATATATTTAGAGAAACAATTGACACTCTGGATAACGCTCATTGAAAATATATGTAGTCTGTTAATTGAAGGAACACCGGAAGTATTTGAATCTGATAAATTTGATCGATTTTGAGTCATATTATTTGATGGATTGTATTCAAACAGCCTAACTATCTTAATGGCTTAAACCAGGTTATTTTTATTAAACTATTCGTGAAGAAGATCTACATTATGTGTCCACTTGAAATTATTTGATCATTTGACTTTCATCTATTCTATCCATTAAATGAACCAACGAAGTGATTTTATCTATCTAGGTGATGTAACAGATATTTCCTATTTTTATACCCATTATTTATTTCATAACTAATATCTAATGATTGTACTACCGTTCCTGTAAGTTGTGATATTTCGGTTATTTTAATGTAAGCCTTACTGGTTATTAGATGAAATAAATTAATTATTCAGAAATTTCAATTCTTTTAATTTAGTAAACAATCATAAACGATAGAAGAATAAGACATTTTGAAAACAATTAGCTCTAAGTCAATATAATATAAAAAATCGCACGTATTTATTCTATATTCTAGATAGAAATTAGTCGTAAAAACGCAATTACGAATACTTAGAATTCATCACTAAGCAAATTAACAACTCATTAAGTTCCCTTGGATATCATTCAGAGATCATACATGTGAAAGAAGACAAGGGAAATACTGTTAGTAAACTCGATAAAACCTTTATCAATTTTTTTAAAAATCTATTATGTAAGATGAATTAATATTTAGATTTTTAAATAAGTAATATACTCGTATGGCAACATTTACTTATATGTAAGACATACTACTTAAAACTTAGGCATAAAATATTTTCCAATGACTGATTATTTGTCCTTAAAAGAAAACATATTTATATGTGAGCATATTATTATTATGATTATGATTAGGTTGCCAATTAATTCTATTATAAATGTTATATTGCTTGTTTTAACTTAAACCTGCGGGTGTTAGTTAGCATTATGCACAGATTTTATAAATAATCAGTTGATTGAAATGAATAAAAAAAGAAATAAAATAATTATGATTAAATTAATTTAGTGAAACAAAAAACAGAAGAAAACTATCAAACAGTATTATGAGTAGAACAAAAGAAAATCTTTCGTTTTTTTCTTTTGATAAATAGATGAGGCCAAACTGTTTCGAATATCATTTTATTATTATTACTATTAGTGTTATTATTATGAGATGATTTGGCCTTAACACATTGAGGACTGAATATGTGCACTTGTAATCATTTCTATAAATTACTTTAGTTATTATAATTTCTCAGAATTTCTCTTAATTTTTGTGTGTAAATGTCTATTTGGTTTGACTAAATAAAATACAGCTAATTTGTGAAGTGGTATGAAGAAATTGGAACTCGTCTAAAAATGTTAATGCCTATTTTTTTTGTTGAAAAAATATACTTACTCAATATTCAGTAAGCTAGTGTGAAACATGTTTTATTTTAATGAGAAACTATTAGGATTAATGATCAGTTGTGCTGTAACCACCGACTGCTTCGACGTGCAATATTTTATGGTGTAGGAGTAGGTTGGAAGAAAGCTAGAGGTGGCCAGACCAAAACATGGCACAAATCCATGAAGTCACTGACAAGAGGACTGAGTCATGTTGGTAGGTGTAGACTACCTGGTTGGGATCCGTGAGATGATGGCAACCGATGGTTAGAGATCTTGAATGACATGGCTCGAAATCGTTTGCAAAAGCGTAGGTGCATCCACTTTTTGTGTTTTCCCGAATTCGAACCTTCTGAATTTTCCTTGTCTCCTTTTTTTCTCTTTCCAATTTTGTTTCACTGAATTATACTCTTGGAATAAGATCTTCAAACCCTAATTTTTCTGAATACTGCTTATACTTTTACCACCTTTACCACAATGGGATTCGAATTGACAATTGTATCTGTATGCTAATGTGGTATGGCAACTCGAACTGATGTACGCACGTACGAAGTTCTATGTGGTTGCTGACTGAGTGACTGAACTTTAATGTTCCT